AAAAAAAAAAAAGTAGAAAAAAAAGAGACACCCTCCCTGGTAACCTAATGAAGGTATAAGAATGGTACCTGATTCATAAAGTGAGAAACGTGACCATCCGGAGGAGGGGAAATTGCAGCCAACCTCTCAAGTCCAGAGAACGTGGGAAAAAACTATTTCAAACTTGCCCAATGAATAGGAATTGCTTTTGTCTGCTTTAAAAGCAGCATTGCTTTGACCACCAACGTGACCAGCAGTTACAAAAGGAGAAATCTCAAAAACAAAACACTGAACTATGCCATGTCAAAAGGCTGCTGTCCCACGCCAGCGATATTCAGAGCTGGGTTGTGCTGCCAGCTTCCATTCATAGCCACTGCTCACAGGACAAAACAAAAGCCATTTCCTTACCATTTATACAGACAGAGAGACAATAGCACTCATAAAACCCCATGTTAAGCCTTTTAGAGAGATTTCTGGTTTGGGATCTGATCTGATCAGCCTGTTAGAGTCAGGCTCTAACCAGCCGCGCAGCCTGTTGGCATATTACTGTTTTAGTATTAACCCTTTCAATTAACTATCCCTGCACACTTCCTGCATCCTCTCTCCATACTCTGTCCCCTATACAACCAAGACATGAAAAAATTTCAGTATAAGGTCTAACACTTGTATGGGAACCAGCAGAAATTACCCACTGAGCATTTGGGTTTCTTGTGGGTCTGTTTTTACTTGGCCTTTTCACAGCATGGCCAATGGCCAAGGGAACTGCCTGACTGTAGCAGCTGGGCACGATGAGTCAGGGCACACTAATGCCTTTTAACCTCCTTCCACCTGTGTGCAGGGAGTGTTGGCCACTCAGCTGAACGAAGCCAGGATCAGCACTGCCCTGCCGAGCAAAACTCAGGCACTTGCACCAAGGTCAAACCTGCCCTGTTCCCACCATCCTTCAGCAAGGCAGGGGGGAGAAACAAAAAAACCACCACCACCAAAAAAGATAATCCCCCAAAAGTAGATTTTTCAGATGGCAAGCAAAGAAGTGCAGCCAACAGAGCAGAAAGCAGTTTGTGATAGCATGGCACATAATGCGATATAAATTCACTAGAGCCTTAGCTAGCTTTACACTTTGCAGAGCCCACAACTTCTGAATTCACTAAAATAATAAAGCACCCTGACATTAATACAGTCATTGATGCTAAATAAAGCTGAGCACAGTTGTGCTGCTTTGATCAGTCTTTTCATAAACGCAGTATAAATAATATTCCTGCTCTTAAGAGGCTTTTACATTTGGAAAGTGTTACAGGGACACACCAAACAAGTAAGTAGTGTTTTGTTTCTTTTTCCTTTCAGGCTTTTTTTTTGTTGTTTTTCAAAGTGTAGACAGAAAAGTTAAACAACCCATTCCCAACAATCCAAACAATGTGTTTACATAAGGGTTTATAAAATGAAAAAGCAAGTTACTACACATTCAAATATTCTGCTCTCCTGCCAAGTGTCTCAAGAGACTAATGTCCGCAGAGAAACAGGCTCGCGCTATAAGGTTTCTGTCCAAAGTTTCAGATTTTAAAAGCAGAATACAAAGAGCAAATACACACTCGGTTTAATAGCAGAAATCCCTGGCTGGAGCAGCCTCACCGGCTTTGCGCCAGCTGGGACCTGCAGCTGTCTGAAGCAAAGAGTAGGGTCCAGGTTTGCTCGGGGCAGAGCTGCTGCTTCCCCACCAGCAGCACAAGGAGGGGTGAGCACCGGCTGCACTACTCCTGCAGCCTCCCGGTTCTGCATACTTGCTCGCTCTCCCTTTCCACATGAATTCATGAGAATACTCCGGCTTCTTCCAAAACGCCCAGACTGGCAATGCCAGACAGCTCAGGTCCTTGAGCCATGCTGCTCCCGGTGCTCAACAGCCTTCCCACAGCTTTTCACAAACCCCTGGTAATTCAATTAGCGCTGAAAAACCTGAGTGAAGTGTCAACTTCTACTTTCTCCAAAGCAGATGTGTATGTGTGTGGTTTATGCTTGGGGTTATCACTAAGCCTAGCCTGTGCTATGCAGTAGTCCAACCCAGCTTTATCTCATTAAAGCCATTTCTGCCAATTAGCGAAAAAAACATTTCCTTCTGTGACAATTAATACTTACAGCAGTTACCCTTCCAGTTCACAATGCTCTACAGGCATCCTTAAATCTTTATCTCCGGAGGCACATGCACTCCAGAAGGGAGCTGTTTTCACAAAGGTGGTATTTCAAAATCCTACCACACACAGAAATCAGGTTTAATCACAACATAGAGACACTTTACAGTTACCGTGACTAAACACATCAGCCCTTCTGAGGGAGCACTGAAGGCCCTGACATTACTTCTTGCTAGGGGCAAGAAACACCTCCAGGCCTCAACAGGTATGGAAGGCGAGACCATTGTGCATAACGCACCAGGGTCCAGAACACGATTAATGAGGATATCTAATAAATAAATAAATAAATGAAACCAATTTGTACAAAGTTACTGGTTGCAGACTAAACTCTGAGGGGTCTTAACATTGCTGGGGATCCCAATATGCCCCCTTTGATTCCCAGAGCAGCTTCAATACCCATTCTGCTTAAATAAAACTCTCACAGGAAGAAAATTTTGGAGGCATACACCCCTGAGAGTTGCCTCAAATGCCTTCTGAGAGCTTACTTCACCCCATACTTGTGGGGAACAATCCTTTCATAACGCAAGTCCCAAGAGGGTTTTTCCTGGAGAATGACTTTTTCCATTGTCAGTCCTGTAACAATGCTACTCCCCCTCCTACTCCACGCACCCCCCCCAAAAAAAAAAAAAAAGAAAAAAAAAAGAAAAGAAAGAAAGCTTTATAATCCTCTGCTTTTTCATCTGAGTGGAAACCACTATATGACAGCTTTAAACTTTTCTTTCTTTAAACCCAGCACTCCCGCCTCAGCTATAATCCTCCTACTGGAAAGATCTGTTCGCGAGTCCCTGCCTCCAGGCAGGAACATCACAGCAGCGATTATGGTCCCCAAAATCCAATCAAATAGCCTCATCTTTTAGCTCAATGGCCATGACTTTAATTGGATGGGAATAACAACACAGAAATTAAGTGACAATTTGTAGTTACAAACTGCTCCCAACCCACACCATTCCCAGGTTCAGGCTGCTTTGTCTGCAGCTCTAGAGTACTTTGAACTCCGGGGATGGCACATCTGACAGCACCAAAGGGACTTTTGACATCCGTGTCCCATTTTTAAGCCCTCCCAGGCACAGGGGCTTCTGAGACCTTTTGGACTTTTGATCATCTTCCGGCTCCATCTGGCTTTTCCTCCTCCCTCCAATTTTATCCACGACAGCAAATGTTGAGTAACTACAGGGATATGCTCAAATTCTTACATTTTATCTTTAAAATAATATGAGCAGCACCTGTATAACTAAAATGGTGGAATTTTACTTGTTCTAAGAGTTAAATTGTAGCTCTAATTCTGCAAAATCAGGACGTGCAAGCTACAGTGCCTAAATTAAGGATGGATTAACTTTCTCCTCCAGATAAACATAAAATAAAATAAGAAAGGATGTTCAGTGATGAAGCAGTCAACACATTTTGCAACAATAAAATACGCAAACCCCCCCTTTTCAAAAGCAGCAGTGAAGTCAGAGAAGCTGCCACTGTCCAGAACGAATCAATGACACACCCTGCAATCAGGCACATCCACGAAGCGCAGAGCTTCGGTCAGTGTGCTGCAGGCGTACAGCAAAGCTGCAAAGTTCAGCTCGGGATCCCATTAGTCCCAGCTATGCTTCAGGTCTGCCTTTCTCCTGCAGAGAATGCGGAGATGTTTCTCCCCTGGAACAGAGCTGCAACAAAGAGGCATAGGGCAGAGTCCCATGGACTTGTTGAGGTCACCCACCACTTTCAGCACATGTACAGAGAAGGCTTTCCTGGTGTCTTCCTCCCTGTAACCTTGAATAATCAGGCATCAGGGCTTCTCTTTTTTGGAGGAGCATGATATCACCAAGCTGTACCCGCAGCTTGCAAAAGCCTTGAAATCACCTTAAGTAGGAAGCAAAAAATAATCCCCAGCATACAATCCCTTCAAGTTATGGTTTGGCAGAGGCTTTTTTGAGCTACTGATTTGCACTGAGGTTTTTCCTCACAGAAAACAGTTAATAGGTGGAGAGGGAGAAGACAGCATTCCTTAAAAAAAAAAAAAAAAAAAAAAAAAAAAAAAAAAAAACCAGCATGAGATACCGACACAGTTGTTTGAAAGCTCTCTCCCAATACACACAGCACAAGAGCCAACTCTTGCTTTAACAGCACTGCCCATTTGGAACAATGTCCTAAAATCTGGGAGATGTTTTTACTTTCTTATTTGTACTTCTGTCCTTGCTTTAAACCCACTGTTTTTTTCTTTAAAAGACAAGAAACCTTACTCTGTATCACTGACCCTACCTCATTCTTAACTACACGGCTGACAGCTGCATCCCTCCTTGAATCTCTTCCAGATGTGATAGCAGACCATACCAGCACCACACGACACACACACCCCCACTCTGGCAATCCATTGTGCTAATTAACAATCTGTCTTCAGAACAGACAGTAATCAATGAGGCCTAATAAACATACCGAAGCCCCATGTATCACAGCAATTGTCATATTGACGTGGCGAAAGGGCTCCTGGATGACGCACACCGAAGCTGAAAACACCACGGCACAGTGATCGCAGACGCACCTATGTTGCAGGATGAAATGACCAAGATGAATTCGTGCGGTCCAACCGCGATTGCATGGGCTTGCCCACAGCCTAATTAACTCTGCTCTTCAAGCCACTGTTTAGCAAGAAAGCAAATCTAGTGTTAGATCACAAGAAATGGGATCTGAATTGCACCAACCACAGAGCAACCAACAGCTCCTGCCAGGTCAATGTCCAAAAAAAAAAAAAAAAAAAAAAAAGATGAATGATTAGCTCTGTGCTCTAAGAAGGCCATGCATGATGTCAGTTAACATCTGTTCTTCTGCGTACGGCATGAATCTAGCATAAATTATGAGCACAGTCTGACAAACATCCATCCTGACCTGCGTCACGTTGGAAGTGGAGGTGACCCAGGAACGCACAGACCCAGCATTAGTGGGCAGCAGTCCCTGCCCTCAGACAGGTCCCCCATGGGCTTCACGTGATGATTCCCACATCTACTAAAGTGTTTGGGCAGTACACAGAACATTAACACCAGACAGGATCCCTACATGCTCCGGGAATGACAAAAAGATGAGAGGTTACACACAACGACACAAAACAAGACAAAGAACTGACACTGCTCAAAAACGTGCTCTCCTGACAAGTGCTGTCTCTTCTGAACAGACATGGAAAAATCCTACCAACACAGTTTATTCATGGCCTCAGTTTGACCTGAGCAAAGAGCTCGACTAAGAACTAAGGAATCTGAGCCTTCATTTTCAAGTGTTAGAAAGCAATCCAAATATTGTACTGTTATTTTTTTGCACATCTCTGTTTAACTAGTCTCTTGTGTACAGCTTTGCCCCTCTCACGCAGCAAATTCAGCTGAAAATGAAGCTAGTAAGGAGCTATATAAATCAACTTCCAAAAGCAACATCTGTAAGGAGATGCTACAGGTACAGAGAAGGAAAGAGTCCTTGCTCTTCCCCATTTCTGTATCACAGAGCTCACGGCATGCATTGAAATAGGAAGAGAAGTCTGGCATTTCTTTACTCCCCAAGTGAAGGATTATTTGGAGCAGCTTCAAACGTTGCGTGCTTTATCACATTTGTTAAGCATCACTGTGGAAAGCTCCTCAGAGGTGCAAGTTCTTCAGTTCAGCTCCTTGTCATCCACTGCACCACTCAGCAACTGCAGAACATCCTTCAGGTACGGCACAAGGGGTGATTTAAAACCTTCTCCTATCAAATAAAGGGCATGCAATGAATGCAGAAGCAAGGAAATGATTAGTATTGCTGAAGAGATCTTGCCATTTCACTCCTGAAACCTCCAGCTTATTATTTGATTGTCAAATTAGGTCTAGGCAGCTTCAGTCGAAACATGCTTTGTGCTTGTGCTCCAAACATCAAGTACATGTAACTAAATCCATCACTTAGAAAAAAATTCCCGATGCTTTCAGCTAAAAGTATAATCACAGTGCATCTGGCATTTAAATAAAATAACCATTAGCACAGGAAACACCCAGCATAAAAGTGCTGGGCCAAGCAAAGAGAGATGAATACGGAGAAGCAGCATGGGACTGGATTTAATGCCATGTTTACCAGGGATCCGCTGTGCTGAGAAATGCAGAGAACTTCCTGTGGCAGGCCGAGCTCAGTTACAGGATTAAAAATGCAGGCTATGACTAAAACTAGAGATTTAATTATCTGGCTTAATTGGACAAGGAGGAAAAACAGCTCCAGTATAAGCTGTGGGCTTCTAGAAGACAGCAGACTACTTTCACAAAAGCTGGGACACCTGCAGAGCCGTTAAGGGCTGAAGGGTTTTTCATATTTCCCATTAAAACACACAGGTACCTATTCGTTAACTGGAGCAATGGAAATGGTCACTGGAATTTAGAAGAAGAAACACGTTACTTGAGATGAATTAGATTAAACTGTACCAAGCCTACAGATTAGCATGAATTAGCCACTATCGTCAGCAAGTCCTGGCAATGCTCCGACCCACAATCAGTGAACAAGTCCATAAAATTTCAAGTCATGTTCACAATTAATAACCAAATCACATACACAACTGGCACCGACAGACACTAACCAATCGTACAAAAATTATCCTCCTCAAAGCAGGCATTATGCCCAACCCTACCACTGACTCATGAAATGCCCTGCAGCAGGTCATTTGATGTCTTTGTGCCTCAATAAAATAAGAATAATACTTTCTCGCCTTCATACTAATTGCCACTTAAGATCTATAGATGAGAAACACTATGGAAGTGATTACTAATAAATCACATCATGATATTCAGAGGCCCAAATTCACTTTGCTCATCACTCAGTAGTGAATAAGAGCAGTTTCTTCTTCATGGAGTTTAATCCCACTTGTTGTGGCTATTTTCCCAACAGCCACACTTACTTTCAAGGTTCTGCATGGTTTCTGTGATGCCCCTCTGCTCATCACACACCATCAAAACAAGCACAGGCCATGGGTTGCACAACAGTGATGGACTCCCAGCCCAGGCTGCTCCAGGTTTCGTTGGTCCCTGCAATGAGATCCCACACGTACGTGGGCTTTCTCATGGCCCTGGAGTCACAAGGTAAGAAACAAGCATTTCATCAGCAAACCACACTTGGCTGGCATCCCTTCCCACATGCTACTCGGGTTTACCTAAAGCTTGACACATCCCCATGCACCACACAGGTCACCAGCATCATGCGTGTTGTGCCATGGAGAAACCTGCATTGGGACTGATGTGACCACCCAGGGCCATACACCAAATCCATGAGGAGGTAAGGCCACAGATGGAATTAGGACAACCTTCATCAGTGCCACTGTGGTGCTGTGCTTTCATGTTCCCATCCACATGCCAGTACCAGAGAACCAGGGAAGTGATGTAATTAAAAACCAACCTGGGAACATTGCAAGGAAGATCCGTTTTCAACAGCATAGCATCCAGGACCTGCTTGACCATGGGACCACACAACTACTGGTGAAAAGTATTTCCTTTTTTAAAGCTTTGGAGGCTTTAGGAGAAACACCATGTGCCAATCTGCTCCTGAGTTTCTACAGGAAAATAATAAGTGTGCAAACAGGCCTGAATATTGCCTTAGCCAAACAAGTGTTCTCCCACTTGTTGTGCCTGTGAAGATGAATCACTGCCTCCTGCAAGCTGTAATTTACTGGGAGGACACCAACCAGCTCTTTGTGGTAGGCAGGTGAAACCAATGCCTCCCCACTTAATTGCCTGTTTCTCTTCAAACTCAAACCCGGTTGACGAGGAAGATCTCCCATGGATTACCAAACCCAGAGGACGGATTTAGTAACACATCCTCCCTGGCTAAGAGATCCCCCAGTGAGAAACAGACACCTTTGGAGGAGCTCCTTAAATTCGAAGGCTTTGGTTCATTCACATTCTTAACTGATCTGAATGATCTGATTCGCAAAAAATAAGATCTTGTCTTGGCCAAGAAAACCTTTATTGCCAAAGGTTTCAACATGAGCTGAGGAGGCATGAGTCAGATCAGATGCAACAAAGGAGCATCAACAGCTAATTAATAGGATGCATCTAAGCTTCCCTCTAATAAATATATATATATATTAAAAAAAAAAAAAGTCTATTCAGGCTTTAACAATGTCCTCCCCAACAATTATCCATGAGCAAGTGCCTTAGCCATAGAAAGTTGGGCATCACCTCCTCCAACCATTTTATTTTTATTTTTTTGAATTAAAGAGTGGCCACAAGGGCTCACCGGCACGCAAACTCTGTTGCACATACATGCATGACTGGTCCGGCACACCCAAAGATCACCTCACCGATCAGACCTGCAGGGAATTTGGTCTAAGAACACAGAGTTCAGGAATGACAAAAGCAGGTACAGGCATGAGATCAGCACTGAGGTTCCCAGTGCTACCACGAGGCCACTGGCACCGAGCGTCTGCTGCAGAGCAGCTTGGATGCCTTGGAAAACACAGAGCGCGGCCAGGCTACACAGGGAAGTTACCCTGTAAAACATACATGGTGCTAGGACACAGCAGAGCTGTGCCTTATTTCCTACACTGTAAGAGATAAAAAGCACTTCCTTATTTTAATGTCAACAACTTGTCAATTTACCATGAACAATCAGGTACTGTAAAGCTGAGAGAAAGACAGACAGATATCTGAACTGATTATGGTAGGAGTAAAGGAGAAACAACTCTCACTTCAAAGCTTGGACCAAGTGATTACACATCTTCACAAGGTCAGACAAAAATGAAAGAACTGACTCCTCAGACCTAATAATCCCTGTTCTTGTATACCCTATAATTTCTATTCCTTTCTCCTTACATTTTTCCTCTCTTTCTGCTACTGATTCAGATGTTAGAAATAAACAAAATATTCAGGACAATTCAGCTGAGATCAGCTAATTAACTGTATTCTCAGGGCTAGAGGAATCACTAAGGAATAGAAAATTCAGAGATTCCATTTGTCAGAGGTGCTTTGACCATATTTATTGTGTTGATACCATAAGCTTATTGGGTGCTTCCCAATGGAGAAGCTATCAATGGAGATCCATGTTCCCACTGTAAAATAATGTCACTTACTGTAAGTACACAGTGTTAGTGTCACTATCATCATACATTTACCAAAGGAAATTAAGGGGACAAAGGAGAAAGAAGGAAAAAAAGTCTCCAAAAACCATGCTGTCCAGACAGTAGGAAACACTGAAAATACTGTCTCATGTATTTGGAGCCGAGCCTTTCTGAATAAATTAGCATTCAGCCACTGAGGACACATGGAAGGAAACTTTACCAAGTGCCAAAAACGACTTGTCTGAAAAGAATTCAGTAAATAGATTCCAGTGTCTGACAAGTGTACTCTGCACTGAATATTATCAGAGACAGCAATGCCTCTTAATCATGTGGACTGCATTTTTAAATGGTAGCTCCTACCAGTTGAAGTCCAAGAAAGATAATCTGATGGGTCCCTCCAAGGCGAGGCAGAACCGGTCACTGTGACAGATGCTGCTGAATCAGAGTACTCAGAAGTCGTTGCGTGAACCTTATCAATGTGTTATTTATTTTCACAGACTCGTTCCAGACTGTATTTCTGGCACAAGGGGTAAGATCAAGAGCATTTCTTTCAAGAGATGAAGCTAATGAGGGTAATTAACCCAACTCCTAAATATATAAGCCGTGCAGATAACAAGTCTCATTTGAATTTTGTTATTCTCGCAAAAAGCAGACGGATTGATCTGACCGGTTCCATGGGACTTTTGCCTTGCTTAAAAAGATGAATGCTCTCCCTTTAGCTACAGATTGAAAACCAGGCCAGTGGGGGTCTCTGGAAGAAAATCTAAAAGGAAAAGCTTCAGGGAGAGGACCTGCAATGACAGCTTTTCCCTTGCTCAGATCTCCAGGAGGAATAAGGGTGCCCAAATGAAGGGAATTTCTACCCTCAGGTGTTTTATCGAGCACACTCTCTGCCGGGTCATTGCTGTGGACAAACATGATGTTATTTCTCAGAAGGTGCCAGCTGAGAAAGCAGATGCCACACATGGCCCCAAAGCACAGTCAGATCAGGATCAGTGAACATGAGGAAGCAGCCAGAGCCCCGGCAATCACCAGACTCCTGGGAGGGCACCAGCTGCAGTCAGGCCCTTGCCCAGGACATACCTAGATTGCTGCAAAAGCCCTTCACTCCCTGCCATGGCCTCCTTCAGGTCCCTCTCCCTCCCCAGGGAGCCCTCACCCACACTACAGCGATGCTTTTCCTCGAGGCAGCTGACACCTCCAGGGACAACAAAGGCAGCAGCTCCCAGCTGAGCAAACAAATCACTGATTTCTTCAGGTTTACAGTCAATTCAGGACTTTCTTTGGCCTATTCCTTGACTTTTGTTTCTTTTGCCAAGCAGCTGGCAGCTGGAGAACAGGACTGCCAACAGCTCTTGCATCAGCAGCATCTGCACCACATACGTACCATAGGTCACACAGAAACACATATCACAGCGCAGCAGCACAATGGGATCTTCATCCAAAATTCTCGATTAAGACCAAGTTAGCGTTGCCACCATGTATATGGCGCCTATCATGATGTCAACACACAGCAAGAGAGGAGAGAAGCCAAAAAGTCACAGCACAGGTATAATTTTTTATCCCAGGAGATTCACCTCAACTGGAGGCTGTAATCGGAGTCACAAGGCGCGCGCACACACATGTAATTTTTTGGAGTGGTTTTCTCATGAGTATTCGCTAAGTGGCCCAACATCCTCGCTATTGTGGTAAACTCCCCAGTCAGCTCTGACTGTGGTTTCACTGCCAAGACCTTCCCTAACAACAACAAAAGCCCTACCCACACAGGCATTTATGAATTATCACCAGGAGTAGCATCCCATAACCTTACAAAGCATATAAGTAAATACTTGAGATGAGTGCGGTGCTTTCCAGACTCTCAAAACCAGGAAAGTCCCTCCTTCAGACACAGAATCACTTAGAATCATAGAATCATTTAGGCTGGAGTGTCCAGGAGCTGGAACAAAGATAGAGCAAAAGGCACATTCTGGAAACCAGTCCTGCACCAGCACAGCGAGATGGGCTGCAGCAAAGCTGAGCTGAAACACCCAGCCACTACATGGAAGGAGAGCTTGAGCATGCTGCCAGCAGAACGATGCTCCTCAAATCTGCTCAATTTTTAAAATTAGTTTCCAGGAGTGGCCACATAGCTCACACCTACCTGTTCTTGGTAAACTGCAATTTCTTCAGTCTCTGAGAGTCACCCACAGCATGCAGGAGAAAGGCATGGGGGAGCATGCCTGCGTTACTGCTCATCCCTTCCAGTTAAAGCAACCCATCCCTCCACAAATTTAAAAGATTTACAGCACACAGAGGAATCTCACATCCTGAATCACAAGACAGAAACCACTCTGAACCCACTGACTGCCGAGAAGAAATCCAAAAGCCTCATCCGCTAACAAGTTTTGGCATTTGATGGGAGGCAGCAAATGGCATGCTCCCAAAGACTTCCTTATCTGCCCTCAATACTTTTTAGAAATGCATCTATAGAGTTAAATTAGTATGGATGTGTTTTTTTAACTGCTTTAAAATGCTTTCACTGCACATGGAAAAAAGAATCTATCATGTGGAATCCCTGCAGTTTAAATGATATTTTAAACAGAACAATACAGACAGTAATGGTATTTACCATTTGGGTATTAGTTGGGATGAGCAGAGGAGCAGAGCAGGGCTCGGCACCAGCAGGGCCTGCAGTACAGGGTACACATCACCTCTCTCAGAGGCTGTGCCATGAAAGCCCGGGTCCAGTCAGGCCTCTTTGTGGTCTGTTTCCATTCCTCAAGCCTCCCAGCGCATGACTCCTCTTATCGTTCCTCCTTCCCCACACTATTCCATCCATCCCAAGTCCTCCTGTCAGCTCGCTTCTCCCACGAAGCCCAGCAGTTATAAATCTACACAGCTCTCTCAAAGACTACAGTTTCACAAACAACCACATCCCAGTCATTTCCTCTCTGGAGTTCTCTGGCGCATCCTGTTTATTCTGCACCTCTCCTGGTTGTACTGCAAACTCTTCAGATCGAGGGCTTTCTGCGTTTTGTGTCTACACTGCTGGAAGCACGTGGCCAGTGCTACCCAGTTCAGAGCTGTGAAGGCCAGAAGAGACCAGTACAAATACCTGTCCTGGCCTTCTGCACAATGCTCAAACTCCAGAAAATGAGTTCAGTCCCAGTGGAGGTGCACTGCTAAAATACAACCACACTGTTTTATTTTGCATTTTCTCCTCATTCAGCTGCATGGTTAGTGTTTCTGTCCTTCATCCTCAAATCCTTCCAGTATCGTCAGCAAGCAGCCTGATGTTCAAATTTTAGGATATGTCCTAATGTATGCACGTACCTCACTTCTGTGACCTCTGCGCTAAGACGGTTGTCGTTAATTACTTGTTATGCTTTGCATTTGCCCAGTTCATATGTAATGAACTTGTTCTGAGATAAGATTCGTCCAAGAAAATTGAACCATAATATAAACCATAGAGTTAGGGTCCTGAATTTAAGAAAGCATGTCTGTAAAAGATTAAACAACTGAAATGATCTGAGAACAGAGTGAAGGGAGAGAATGAGCTGATGGCATTTGCTGGTATGCAAGTTA